ATTTCTTAGTTGTTGACAATACAAACACGGGCAGTAGGTTTTAAAGAAAACAGATATTTTATGAAAGTTTGACCTTGTTTGACATTGAAGAAGAGGTCAGAGGACAGAGGTCCAACGTAACGTGATATTTAGATTCTCCATATATTGTTGCCTTTTTGCCTATGTGTGGTCAATACAAACGCTGACAGTAAGAAATATAGTTTCTAATAGGTCTGAATACGATTATTAGTACTTTTCAGATCAATTGATTGACCCAGAGAGGTCAGAGGTCAAATGAGATATGATATGACATATAAGATATTTTAAATCTTTACATGTTAATACACACCACACTTGTAAGAATCATAGTTTCTAAGTTATAAGACTTTTTTTTTTCAGTTTTCAACCAACAAATCGGTAACTTGACCTCGAAGACCTTTGTGGATGTTGGTGGAAATTTTGGATTATTACCATGACCCATAACTTTTTGAACTTTCCTTTTTAAAGTAAGACAGAATGAGACGTAACCAAAAAGATCCCCTCCTTGGTAGGTTATTTTAGCCCAGCTCATTCTTAATAATTTAAATGATTAAATAATAATCTGATAATTAAGCATTTCCATTGTATGTCCCTTGGTGTGAGACAAACCATACGCGGTGTATATTATTTAGTTTAAAATGGGAAAAAACAGCGTTAAGACCATTTGCTGTACATCTAATGTTAAAAAGTGCTTCCTTGTTGGCAGAGGGAGAATGTGGGCAGCGGTGAAGGCTTGTTCCTTTAAGGGTGGTGTCAGCGGCAGGCGGAGGAGGAGGAGTGTAGCTGTCTGCGCTCACTTCTCCACAGCGAGGGGACTCCGAGAATAAACAATTTCCACAGACTACGCGCTCCACACCTCGGCTCGCTCACAGGCGCAGCATTCATTCGTAGAATTAAAAAAATCAAATCAAATCAAAACGAGGCTTTTTAGAAATTATTTCGGACTTGATTTTTTCCTCCCTCGAAGCCTGCCTCGCCATTTCTGCTTCCTGCCAAAAGTGTCGCGACCGTTTTCATTGGATTTGCCTCCTCCTGTCGAATGATAACGATGCGCCTCTGTGGGGTGGACGAACGCAGGTAAGGGGATCTGTAAGCGAGCGCACTGTTACGTGTGGACAATGTTATTCTTATACTGCTGCGGGTGGAAACGTACACGGGTGCGCGTATGTCGGGCAGTGGTTAGATCGTGCGCTTTTTTTCCTCTGTGTGTGTGTGTGTATGTGTGCGTTTGTGTCGGGGATCGGTAACGCTGTTTGTGTGTCGCACGGCGGCCAGGGGCGCTTATGGATGTGTCGCTGAAATCGCTGCATAAAGAAGCGGGGAATAAACCTGCCCGTGTGGCTTTCCATTTAGCCGCACATCCGCTCAGTGACGGCAGCCAGTGTCCGTATCCTTCGGATCAGTGGCTCAAATTAGGCCCACGATAGAGGCATTTCTCTATAAATGTTTCTCCCCATACACGCACACACCGCCTCTGAATCTCTTGAAAGCCTCCTGCTAATTTTCACAGTGTATTCTGGGCTGTCAGGCTGCTTGGCAGCACGAACACCGAATGACTAATGTCACCCGTTGGCTTAATTTAATAACAGTGTGCACCGTCTTCTGCTTGGAGCGCGGCAGCTGTAATGTAACGTTAGTACAGTTAATGTAGTTCATCACGTCGGGTCAAAACACTGCACAGCCCCCCATCTTGTAGTTTTAGCACCACCAAAGGGAAACGCTTCACGGTTGCACCGGTGTGTAGATTCCAGTTGGCAAGTCTGACGGGCTTTTTAATGGCCCTCCGAGCGTAAAGGGTCTTATACGTTGACTCGTATGTGATTGTTTCAAGGTGCTAAAAGCCACCTGGGCCCACTGGGTGTAAAAATGAGTTTGGGTTGAATATTCATTGAGCAAGACTTTGCATGTGTCACTGCAGTAGCACTCAGGGGGAAGCAGGGACAGTGACACTAACCCCTGAGCATGTACAGTAAACACAGTGTAGGCGAAGGTTGTTAAAAATGTTGCAAAGCAGTGTTGCTACAACAACTTTATTACGCAGTCAGGAGCTTTTTTAATGCACTCAAAAAGATGTGCACTTGATGTGTGGCTTAGTTGGTGATTCCCATTAATACTCTTTGTTTTTTTACTTGTTTTCTACACCACCTCTGAAAATGTCTGAATGTCTCTACCCTCCCCGGGGTCCTCTGATAGAGATTAGTCTAGTCTGCAGACTAAAACACCCATCATTTCGAGTTGGCCTGTTGCAGCCTGTCACATCACCCGGCCGTCATGTCAGATGTGTTTTGATAGATCTCAAAGGCTTGGATGTTTTCTCGGCGAGACTTTCTGAGTGGCCTTTACGTAGGTGTTCCTTTTTTTCACAAATATCTTATTGCTTCATTGGACTTTGGATCCGCGTGGAGGCAAAAGGTCAGGGGCTGAAGTTTTCTGAGACTTACCGGAAAGAGGGCAGAGAACAAGCTGCAGTTCAGCTTCTGAAATAACCTGTTTGGATGTTGGAATATGAGGCTTTTTAAAAAAGGTTCAGTTAATTTCCTGCCTTGCACATAACTACTCGGGCTACCAATCTAAAGTAACGCAGAGACGAGTCAAACTTTTTTAAAGCCTTCTAAATACCGCCTGTGTCTGGGGGTCTGCCTCTTAGCCTCTCTTTTGTTGAACATTTAAGCTGCTTAATTATTTGACCTGAACTTACACAAGATGTTCAAGGTAGTTCGGCGTGTCCTCTGTTGCCACAGATAACGTAAAACCTCCACGTTTGTAGCCCAACTTTTTAAGTTGTGCTTTATGAGTGTTTGAATGGTCTGGCCTGCGTGCTGTAATTCATAGGATCCTCTGCGTTGGACGGGGCTTGATTTGACTCTGCCATCTGCTATTGTCCCGGGAGCTGCTGTTGAGTGATGTGCAGTAGCCTGCAACAGAACCAGAGGACATTCAAATGGCCAAATGCAAATGATGCCGAGGCTGCTCAACAGTCACAAGACTGGACTCTGAACTCTCTCCTCTTGTCCACTGGCTGCCTTTCATTACTGCAGAATCTTATCTGCCATCAAAACACTGCTGCCGCTGCTGCTGCGTATGAAAGTGGCAAGTTTTGACATGAGTGTTTATGTGTGTGTGTGTGTGCTCTTGCAGGTGTGTTCTGCACATCTCTTTTGCACATCGTGGAAAACACAGAGTAATTTCAGAATCCACCTGCTTGTTGCTACTTTGTCACTTTGAATTATGTAAAGGAGAAATCGCTGTAAAAAAATGTATTTTTTTTCCACACAATGACTCCACAGAGTACTTGCCCAGCCACTTACCTCCACTAACAGCTTCTCTAACTACTGCCACTGTGCCAGCTCAAACCCTTAGTGTTTGTAAATCTGTCATAGACCACAGCACGAGCACAGGGCGGACAGAAATTGAGAGTGGCGTCCCGCTTTTTGATTGCTCAGATACTCGGCAGCAAGAAAAAAAAAAGGAAAAACTAATGTGCAATCTACCAGAACAAGTGTCACGCATTTACTGCAGAGTTTTTGATTTATTATAGACCTGGGAGATGCCCAGCACTTGTGTTGTTGGCCACCGAACATTGTTCAAGGGCACTTTGACAGTAGATGTGAGGAGCAGAAGTGCATTTCTCATCTACTTACAGGCCCGCGCTCTTGTCGGCCCGCTGAGGATTCAAAACCAGACACCTTTGGGCCACAAACTCATTTCTCTAATTGTTTGGGCTCCATAATGCCAGCGCGGGGCGTGCATTAAACCAAATCATTTTATTGTTCCATTTATCGTTTGTTTGTTCAGCAGACACTCTTCTAATAACAATGGTCAGAAGTGCTGCTGTAACGGGAAAAAGATTTACACCGTGACAGTTGTGCTGTAAATTTCACCGTCAGAATGAAACATTTATCTCTAATTAACAAGACAGAAGTCAGTGTTGTGTTCAATCAACAAACTGAAATGATCACTTTTCTCTGATTTACTATTAAGTAGTTTTAATCTTCTGTCCCCTCTTCCATACAAATTCTTGCCCAGTGCCTGTGTCACAAATAAAGCTTTGCCTGATCCTCCATATTTATACTTTTTCAGTCCTATTTTGTTATGTTTACCATTTTTTAGAGAAATGCACCAACCTCACCCACACGCCAAACCCCAACTTTTAATCTGTAATGACATTTCTCCTTCTCCCCTTTTTTTTCCTGTCTTGTAATTAGAGGTGGGAATCACCATACATCCCACGATACGATATTATCACGATACTTAACGCACGATACGATATTATTGCAAATATTTTGCGATATTTTGCAAAAGTTAAACACATTTGGACAGTGAAGGAATGTCAGGATTCTTGCTCAGAAAAAGGATCAACATGCTCTGAAGTCAGAGCACAAAAACCTTTTTTGTAACAAAAGATCGATTTCTGCTGTCCCTGTATC